ACAGACGCGCGCACCCCCGACCGAACGCGGCACGGCACAGCGCAACTGGCACCGGGAAGCCGGGAACGCATTAAGTGAAGGATTCACAGGTGCGCAACTTTATTGCGAACAATAAAAACCTACCGCAAACGATTAAAAAAAAGCTTTAGGGCAATCGGAAATACAAATGTATTGACTTATAGAAATAAAATTATCATTCACCTTCCAAATAACCCAACAATTTATTTGCCGTAAAAAGTGTCTGGAAATGGAAAGTTGCAAACATGATTCAGCAAGTAGGGAAACGCAGCAGCTACCTGGCGAATAATCTCAGGCTGGTTTAGTGACGAGTGCATTGCTACGGCTTGTTCCTCACCCTTCACAGATTACTATGACAAAACTACCCCTAGTATTTTGATCATCCTGAGCCTGGCTTTCACCTAATAATTTGATGAGGGTCTTCCTCGTTTCGGATTGAGGCGAAAACAAACGTCAAACAACCTTGATAGTTAATTCAGCACTTCAAAACAAAGGTACACCTAGGGTATCATTACAATACCGGATCATAACGATCTGGATAGTTCTCAGCCTGTAAGCTAACTAAGCGGTAACTAGTCAAGTGGTAGGTACCGGAAGCATTGACAACCTGGTGACTGTTTCGAGACCCTTGTTTTGACACATAGCTCGTCAATATTTTTTACAGTGTGGTGTGCGCCGTCGGGAAATGACGCCCAGCTGCCCAGCTACAACTCGGAGAGTATGCTCCCAATGGAACTCTCCTCAGCTGTCGCCTGGGTGGGACGACAGTCACCGTCAGCCAAGAACGGCGATAATAAATTGATCGATGTGCAAATAGGAGGATTGACTGACGCTGAAGACGATGGGATGCATGCTAAACGGAAATATTAGCATAATTATTTCCGTATGCATTCCACTGCTAGCTAACTGCATCACTCACTGTCTTTACGTTCCAACGTTTCTATTGGAAAGTAAAGGCATTTCTGCTACAGCATCTTTTTATCGTTGTCTCAGCTGTATAACATTCTCACTCTTATTGGGCTCAGTTGCTGAGTTATCGAATATTTTACTTTGTAAAGGCTCAATTTATTGATCAGCCAAGTAAATGCTCAATTTTCGGGACCGGTACGTCATACACAAACCAAAGAAGACCTGGAAAAGTCTGACCTCACGCAGCGGTTCTCTACAGTCCGGTTCTTACAGACCGGGGAGCCACCAGTCCCCTGTCCTGTGACAGGCGGCGCTGGTGAGGTCTTCAGCCGACACTCTGCTGACCGATTGTGTGGGGAGCCACCGACGCTCGGTTCCTATTGTAGGTGGCGCTGGTATAGGTGGCGCTGGTATAGGTCTTCATCGGTGCTACCTCACGAGGGAGGCAGGAGAAGCGGCTCGATGCACCTTGCGCTTATGCTCGAAGCTATCTAATGGGCGTTACAATACATATCCCTACCCACTTACATAATCATGCGTAGAACGTGTCTGCTTGTTGTAATTCTAATTGTTTTTTGCTTCTTCTTTTTTCGATCTAGCCATACTTTTTCATGAGCGGTAGGATTTGGGTACATTTGGGCGAGGAGAGGACAATGTCTGAGAGACCATTAGGGTGCACCACCGCAGTTGAGTCCGTCTCAGCCGACAGGCCACCCAGCCGCGTAAATTTGCACCCCTCAGTATACAGGAACCTGCTCCGATGGAAGCCACTTGAGTCGAATGGTGGCGACCGTCAGGCGTCTGGCCTCGAACAAGGAGCTTAGGAAGGGTTCAGTGAGGAAGAATGTATCCGCTATCTATCAATCCATCAGTGTCCCATAATGATGGATCAGGGGGATTGGAGGACTTACGCCATATCAAGCCATTTGTAACTCAGGAACACAAAAGGAGAATGCCTATTTTGTAACCCACTTAACACTGGCCTCCTCTAAATCGATGAAGCATGCGCCGCACCAGGGGCGGATCCAGGAATTTTCGGGAGGGGGGGCGGCAAGTCGAAATAGGGGCGACCTGGCAATCCGGGGGCGCTCAATACAAAGGGGGCGCCAAACCGTCAAAATCGGGAGCTAAAAGCCCGCGCCGTGCTAGGGGGGGTTATCGCGCTCCCCCTCAGGTTTTTCGCATATATCTGAAAAACGGCTGCGCGCAGCGCCGCCATTTTTAGCATACCTTATCATGCATCTTTTTTGCACATGTTGTAAAAATGTCTGACGCGGTTGATGGAAGGTCAGGTCACCAGGTTATGCCAGGTGACCTAGCCTAAGAAAAAGTTCAAATGCTTACCATTGCTATACCGACTGAACGATTGCTTTGAACCTTTCAGCGATTGATGAAAGCAACACTATTCATGAAATGTATATCTCGGAATTTCGATATCTGTGACCTAAGGTCAGGTCAGTTGTGCGACGTCTCCATTAGGTAGGTAGGTATAATTAAGTCTTTGGGAGAAAACGGAAAGGCATCTCTTTTGGACGAGCGCCATTCTAGACAATATCAAGCATTGGGATACATATAAAATTAACGCACTGAATAAGAACATTGCACCTAGTGTGACCACTCATTATGTCCTAGAGGTCATCCCATGTCATGAAAGGTCCGCAGCAGTTTTTTTTAATAACTTTTGATAGATTCAAGCTAGAGCGATAAAAACACCTCAGCTGTGTTCAGCTCGACGATACGCATCGACTGCTATGCAGCATGACCTTTCCCGGTCAGGTCATGACCTTAACCTGAGGTCAAATTCTCAAAATTACCTTTCATAAGGTCAACCTTTAGTTTGTTCGACGTGTCTCGACGACAGAAACGCAATGCTGACGTCGTAATGTCGAGACTCTCTTGAGTCAAAAGTTATTGCAGGTAAACATTGTTCGTAAAAAGGCTATTTTTAGAGTCTTTTGCCCTCTGAAGGCTAAACCGTTGACCTGAGGTCAAATCTGAGCGCAGCTTGCAGAAACACCTTTAAAAGGGCTATCGAATGCGCTTTTCTGCGGCGCTATAGCTCTGTTGGTTTCCGAGTTATGTGCCGCTGCTTCGAAAACGGAAAAATGTTGAAACAGGCAACATTTTACCTTTGATGACCTCTGGTGACCTGACATTCGACCTGACCTAAAAAATGACCGTTTTGTTTTCGTCCTGTTTTTTGACGATCTTTCGAATGCCGCTTATCGCGTGTCACTACGCGGCCCAGGAGCCGAGTTAGACGAGGGAGTTTGCCCCCCCCCCTTCCCAGCAGGACACGGAAAACTCAGACCACCAGCACGGCACGGGTTAAAAGTCGTAGATGGGCACCGCTACCCTAGCAAAAGATATTAGCAAAAAGGTGGCCTCCATTTACTGGTGCAGTCCTTCTTCTCCCGGTGATGCCCCCTCCTTTTTCTGGAAGCGTCTCACTTATGCTGGTATGCCTCACTTCCCGGGGGCGCCCAACCTCTGCTTGGATCGCCTAATCCATTATGGAGAGACCCAGTTTGCTTAAGTCGCCTCATTTCTTCCTTCTAAGAACGACCAATTTGCTGCAGGCGGCCCACTTATCTGGGACGCCCATCTTCTGCTAGAAGTGCCCCTCTTCTTCCTGATGCGTCCCACTTCTACTACGAGTGCACCTTTTCTGTTAGGGCGCCCCTTTGCTGCTGAGGAGTCTTTTTTTCTACTGTGAATAGGGCGGCCCTCTCCTGTTGGGCGACCCCAAATTCTGCTGAAGGCGCCCCACTTCTGCCCAACTTTTGGTGGGGTGCCCCTCTCTTGCAGGGGCACTTCTCTTTTGCTGGAGATGCCACTCTTGTGGGGGCGCCCTTCCACTGCGGGGAACGTCTCTCTTCTGCCAGAGGCACCCCTTTTCTTCTTATGGGGCTCCAGTTTTTTTTCTGGGGCGCTAGGCGACCCTCTGCTGCTCGGAACGGGGCACACCTCTCCTTTTACTGGGGCACCGCCCCTCTGCTGGGGTTGCCCTTCCGCTGTCGTCAGGGGCGCCCCTTTTGGTAGAATATACTCCTTTTCTTTTTGTAATGGGGCGCCCCTCTTCTACCGGGGGCGCCCATCTGCTGCTGGGGCGTCTGTCTTCTGCCGGATATTGTCAATGGGGCGCCCATATCCTGTTTGGCGGGCCCAACCTCTGCTGGAGGCTCCCTATTTCTGATTAACTTTTGCTGTGGCGCCTCTCTTCTGCTGGGGCGCCCCTCTTCTGCTTGGGGCGCCCGTCTCCTGCTGGAGACCCCTCTCTTCTGCTGGGGCGCTCCTCTTCTACCAGTGGCACCCATTTTCTTATTATGGGGCTCCTTTTTTGCTGGGGCGCCCAGCTGCTGTCAGGGCGCCCCTCTTCTCGGAATGGGGGCGCCTCTCTCCTTTTGCTGGGGCGTCGCTCCTCTTCAGGGGGACACGTCTCCTGCTAAGGGTGCCCTTCCGCTGCCAGGGGCGCCCCTCGTGAACAGAAGGTATTTTATATTCTTGTAACGAGACGCCCTCTTCTGCTGGGGGCGCCCATCTGCTGCTGGGGCGACTCTCATCTGCTGGGAATAGGCAATTGGGCGTCACTCTCCTGCTTGTTGAGCCCAACTTCTGCTGGAGGCGCCCTATTTCTGCTGAACCTTTGCTGTGTCGCCGCTCTTCTGCTCGGGGCGCCCTCTCTGCCGCGGGATATGGGCGCCTTTTTCGGATGGCGGGGGGGGGGGGGGGGGCGGCCGCCCCCGTCGCCCCCCCCTGGATCCGCGCCTGCGCCGCACTCAGCAAAAATATATATGCTAGCCCGTAAAACATGCCTGAAGAGCTTTCCACCGAAAATGCGTTTATATCATTCCGTTCGTTATATAAACCGTTCCGTAAACCTTCGTCGAGGTCACATTTTGCCATAACATCAGTGAAATTATAACGTTTGCCCGTTTTGGCCACACCAACCCGTCCGTAGCCAGTTAGTAAGCCTCACCTCGAATGAAGTACGTTACTGTAAATTAAGTTGATTGCCTATTTTATGATTAAAAAGAATTCCATTGCTGTTATTAGCTGACAAAGAGTAGTGGTAGGTATTCCAATACATATATTCGGTCGTAATATGCCCTAAGCCACAACAGACTGCTTGGAAACTAAAAGCACGTGGCTGGTGTTACTCGTTTTCATTTAGCTGAGAGTTAAAGATCTTGAGTTGTCAGCACATCGACACATATGTATTCAAAGACACAGGGCGGTTGAGGTCGGACATTCCTATAACTGCATGCGACCATGCAATGGCTGCCTTGCCTTCAGCATCCGTTCTATCATAAGTTTTGTTATTTTTTAGGCTGCGTAAACGTTAGTTATTTTATATTAGTAAGGCATGTCATTAGCAGCATCAACAGTGAGCTGTTACTTTGATAATTGAAACAATTCTCCTATGCTCTCATATATTGCGGCGCCTCCTCCTGGAATTCACGTGACTATCGTATCACGACGAGCAGCCACAGCAGCAGGATGCGCGTCATAACGATCTGGGCGCGGCACACAGTCAGCACGCAGTAGAGCAGGAGCACACCGGAGGCGGCGCCCAGCCTCCAGGGCGCCGGCTCCGGGCCGCGGCGCGGCGCCTAGGCGCGTGGCGACGGCACGGCCGTGGCCGACGACCTCAGCAGCGACAGGATCGAGCTGCGCGTGTTGGAGCGCGTCCGCTTGAACCGGATGCCGTCGCCGGTGCGCACGCAGTCGTGGTAGGCCTGGATGAGTCCGAGGAGCTCGCCGAACGCTTCGCGGTCCTGCTCCAGTGCGGCCATCAGCTGGCTCATGCTGAGGCCCTCTGCACGGACAGACGGGCGCGCGGTGAGCGGGCGGCGCCGGAGTGCCTGGCGGTTAGGCTGTACCGCAGTACCCGCGTGTGCTGCGGGACAGCCTACCTACGCTGGCTTCTGAGCCGCGCTCGACGTCGAGCGCTGAGGGACGATTCGTAACGTTACGTTAGCTGCCTTTCAGGCCCACTTGGTGGGCTTATCCTTGTTCATTGGTCATCAGCGGTAGATGAAGCTTCGACGTTATTTTTGCTATCTGCTGCCTAAATTCTAAGCAGCATCTCTCCATCAAATGCGGAATGTAGAACACAAGTAGAAAGACAGGAACGAAATACGGACACAAACGAATAGCAAGTACAGTCTGTCTTAAAAGTACCGCGCAAAGTGACGGTGGATCCATCAAGCCTGACCGAGGAAGGGCCTGCTATAATTTGAAAGTCACCGAACCAATTGACCTTGGGGAATGGACGAGGATGTTCGTTGCTTCGGTGATTCAAATCTAGCAGTCCTTCATCGGTCAGGCTTGATGGATCCACCGTCACTTTGCGCGGTACTTTTAAGACAGACTGTACATGCAATACCGTTAAAGAGGACACAACTGATCACTCTCGGCTGCAGGCAACTACTCACGGAACTGCTGCGCTGCGTGGATCAGCGTGACGAGCGGGTTCTGGCCGCAGCCGTCCGAGCTTTCGTTCCCTTTGACCAGGAACATTCTGCCGGAGACGACTGAGAGCAGCAGCGCCAGAGTCGCCAGCACTGAGCGCAGGTGTGAACCGGCCTGAAATCACAGGCACAGATAGCATAGCACAATACAGAGAGCAGGACCACCAGAGTCGACAGCATCGAACACAGGTGTGAACCGGCCTGAAATCCAACAACAGTCATCACAGTAAGTTACGATTCAAGCAGTGAAAAGAAAGACAATAGGAACTTAGAAAAATAAGCAGTAGAGAGGCGAAATGTGCGTTATGCTTGGATATAATAATTAATGCTGAGGCGAAATGAAATCAAATACGAAAGGTCAGCTCAGGTATTCTAGCTGTCGTTCATCTGAAGGAATAAGGAAAAGTCGTTTTTTATTGGCTCATCTCATCATTGTAGGCATGGGTGGAGAACCTGCCCCGGCCACCCCGGCCGTGGCCGGGGTAACTTTCAGCCTACCCCGGCGCGGCCGGGGTAACTTTTCCACACTTGTAGATCCTAAAAGCTGTCTCCATACGAAAACAACTATCGTTCTTTGGATGTTGACTGCCATGGACGTAATATTGCAAATCAGGTAGGTATTCGCTTACCATAATATCCAACCCTAGGAAGTAGGAACCGTTTGTGGTCGCTAATGTCAAGATTGCTCTCAAATCGTGTTCAGTTTCTAAAATTTGGCGCACCTTAGGCTCACTTTTTCAGAACCACTGCTTGACCTCACCGGCCACTGCCTTCGACTGGCCTGCCACCTACCGCAACCATACCTGTTTAGGGGACGGGACCGTGACCGTTGTAACCGGGACACATGCTCTCGCCACGCGGAGTACAAGTGTACAACGCTCTATCGACTGAGCTACGAGGCCAAGACCGGTCGATATCCCTGGATCGACTCCCTGTTTGTCTTAGGTATAAGAGGTCGAACCGCCCAACATTGAAAAAGGCTGTGTCCCTGGATGTCATTGAGTACATAGTGACCCATTTTTATGTTTTGGTTCGAACGTTCAGTTTTCTCTGTAAAACTACGAGGTAGGCTGTCGTGTTTTGTAAATATTTTGAGACACAATAAAAAGCTGAAACCGTAACATTTACTCATAATGGCATATGATATGGTTTGGGTATGGATGAAACCGAATACGTTTAAGTAAAAAAAAAAACACTTCAAAAAGAAAATCGCTTTTTCAATCATGCCAAAAGATGTTATGAATGATACGATGTCGGATACAACGCTCAGCCTTGAACAAACACATCATCCATTATTCCATTTCCCAGGTTCAGAATAGGGGTTTGTTTTTGGTGACCATTGACAACAACGTGAGCATATCGTCTTTCCGACTACCGGCCACCGGCCGGGGTAACTTTTTCAAACATTCTCCACCCATGATTGTAGGAAGAGTCCGCAATGAGGATCAAACTGTTTCGATGCACTTGCCAATCGCGTATCTCGGCAAAAAGTGATTTGTTCCTGAGCCTGTTCTTGTGTTCTTGTGAAACAGGCTGCCCGCAGTACTCGCATGTGTTGCGGTACAGCCTACCTTTGCGCTAAGTTCGAGCGTTGGAGAACGATTCGTCACGGTGCGTTGGCTGTCCTCTACATAGGCTGAATTGGTCGGTTTAGGTCTATTCATTGATAGTGCTATTAGTAAGAGGAGGCAGATAAAGCTTCGACACAAACTGTTCTACCTATAACCAGAACAGCTCGTCTATCTCTATACATAGGTAAGGAACGCTCGGTACATTTATGTTACAGACGTCAACAAATACAGCAAGCTGCCACGTGTGCCCTTTATTCAAACCAGGACGCGCCTATACCTTTCACGTGTGAGTGCCGCCAATGAATCAGAGTTACGAGTAGCGATTGAGGCCGAGGTCTCCGAAACTGGCTATCTTTAGCGTATAGCTTCCATTTCGCGAATCAATCAGCTCCATAATCAAAGAATAATATACATAGAAGCAGCCTGTCTGCGGTAAGGGTATACGAGACCTTTCTCAGCTACGTGAAAGCAGAATGCAATTGTTTTGTCTATTCAATAGCCATTTCTGCATGCTCTGTGATACAGTAGTCCATGCCTAACGTACATTTTTGTGACTGACTACCGTAACACTTTGTATAGTATCATTACAGGTGTTTTGTGGGTAGGCGACAACAAACTACTCATCTATCGCCGTTTGCATTATACCTATTCTTTCTGAAGAAGCATGAGCGTCGCACCTGTTTGCCAGGTCTTTTTATTACTTTTCGAGCTATATGAACTTCGTTGCTCTGACAGAATTTTATCGATCCTGGGCTACAGAATCATGCTACTTTAGTACCTATGACTACATATATGATTTTTGGTTTGGTCTGATTTATCAGTATTTATCAGCGACTTATGTGCTACTTATGCAGTCTAACTAGTCCGCTTATCAGTCTACCTGACCCGCCTGTTTTGACTGCAGGAGATCTGCAGACTGTTTGGACTGGCCGGACTACTAGACTGCCGTTCTTCGGGTCATACATGTCTGTTACCTGTCCACTCCGGGTCGTGTGCCGTCCTTCTACATAGTGGTAAGACGGGTCAGGCTCAGCTCAAGTCTGACCCATCAATCTATGTAGGCTGGTCTGGTCTAGGCCCATCTCCCCTGTCTGTCCCGTCCGACCGTCCGTCAACTCACCATGGTTGGTGGGTGATGTGACCCGACCCTGGTCGCTGCAGCCGCCGGTGCCTGACCTCCCGAGCCGGAGACCGTCGCGGGCTGGCACAGGTGACGGCTCAACGGACCGGCCACTGACACACTGCTGCTGACAGACCCGCGCGTCTTACCTTTTATCCTCGGCGCGCCGCCCATCCACGCCATAATTATTGCCAAAGAGCGCCGCAGTGCCACCTGAAATAGCCGTTCGGCACCACAAACGAGCCGGCCGGACCGCCCGGGCAGCTGGCCGCCGCGCCCCCACACCCGAATACCGTATTGAGCGCAGCGTCCGTCCTCAGGAGCCGGCCCTGTCCGTCACCGCTGGCCACCCGTCCCCGGCAGACCGATTGGCGCCAATCTCGGCGCACTGGGACAATCAGCGCACAGCGAGACGCCGCACGTGCAATCAGCGAGGTCGGTTTGGGAGGGTGGTGATCAGCGCCGCCCCCTCCTCCAGTTTGGATCCGTTCCTCACCGGAAACGTGAACAGACAATGCGTCAAAAGTAACACATTTGGCTATTGGTAACAATAAAATCAGAAATGTGCGTCCCTGTCCGTGTCACAGTATCATCTACACATATTTAGCATGTACGGCTTCGCGAGAAGAAGCGGTAGGATTTGCACTTTTACATTTCCGGTTATAGGTATCTCAGAAACTAATCGATCTACGATGAAGCCATTTTACACGATCATGGCCGGCTTGTGAACCAACGAGTCGATCGCATCTTCAACACTTAACCCGCGCCCCGTATCAGTGACCTCAGATAGCAAAGTATGTGTTTGACGAACACTGTACCTTCGATGGTTTTAATTAACTAACTTACCAATTTACTTGACTTCACAACATATTTCTTGAAATGCCTGTGAACGGTGAAAATCCGATCTTTGACCTGACCTGTGACGTCATCGGTTTGACCTAGGTCAACGAAATTTGGTCACAAGGTAGTTCCCCGATGGGGCTATTGAACGCCGTTTGAATTTTGAAAATCGGCCGGTAAATTTCCGAGATCTTAGGGGGGGGGGGCGAAACGCCCCCCCCCCTACGGGTGGTAGGGTCCGCCGGTAGCCCTACGGGACGCGGGTTAAAAGCTTAAGACGACGAATAAATAGCCTGAAGTACACTAAATTTTCTAGGTGCAAAACCTACCGCTAAAACCCGTGAGACCTGTACGTGCTATAGTTTTTTTTTAGCAGTTACACGATATTAGCCGTTTTCACGACGGCCATCTGGTGCACATTTGGTGCACATCTGGTGCAGATTAGGTGCAGATTTGGTCAAATTAGGTTCAGTGTGTCTCTTAGTAGCTATCAGCTATAGGGTTGCACTAATTGCTTATATGCCTGCTTTGTCATATTATCAGAGAGTATCTTCGATTAAAACACTGAAATAAATTCATAAAATAAAGATATTTGCTGTAACAGAGAATAGGTGCAGATTTGGTCAAATTAGGTGCACTCGCCGGATAGCTCGTCGTGAAAACGGCTATTGTCAACATATCTTACCCTGGAATGCTATCGTGAAAGAACCGCTTAGGGTTACCGGAAAAAGTCTTATTTGGCAATATTTGTTCGTTGAGAAGATCGTACTGTCGTGAGTTCTTTCTCCAAATATGAATCTTTATATTAGAAATTAACAGTATAGGTAGTTATATATGAACACGTCTCAGCATTATAAATCATACCAACTTTATTTGAGGCTGGCTTTCAGGGACAGATAGGTAGGGGAGAGTGGGGCAAAGCGGCCACCCTAACGCTTCTCACGATGCCAACGCTTGATTTTTAAATTTGGAAAGATTCTTTTTATACCAATGTGATCCCTATTAAGTTGCCTTTTATTTCAACTGCGTTTTATTTCCAAAGGCGTCCACATATGAAAAATATTGACAAAACTTTAAACCTATGCATATTGGCCACTTTGCCCCATACCCTGGGGCAAAGCGGCCACCGGCGTCTTCTCAAGTCCCGATATGAGAAACAAAATAGGTGCCTCGTGTACGACTAGGGTATTTGATGGTGACAAGGTTAAGCGAAGATGGATGTTTACTTTATCATCTTCCACCTGTAGGTAAACAAAGAAAGGATGTTCATGAAAATAAACATTTAATTGCAATATTTGGTAACTCATGCAACTGAAAAGTGGCCAAGATGAATGCATGACGACACATTTGAATATAAATAATGTTTTTTATCCAGATGGAAGCAACTTATGGCCAATTGGGGGGTGGCCACTTTGCCCCGGCCACTTTGCCCCGCGCATACCGTCCGAGACAAAAATATTCCAGCTTAGCTATTAGTGGGGTAAAAAACATTAAAATTGGTAGAATACATGTACGATAACCATGCAATGCTTGGACAAGAGCGCTTATAAAAATTCCAAACGGTTATGGAATAACATAACATTTAAAAATTGTAAACATAGTTGGTAGCCTGGCAAGAAATGCTTTTCCGTGTTTCACAGAACAATGGTGATGGGCCTGAAACCCCGGTCTGGCTCATTCGAACGACCGTAAAGAGAAGTATAATTGGAAACCATAAATTGGAACTGACGCCAGCTATGAAGGGCTAAAATAATGGGTGGCCGCTTTGCCCCGGGTGGCCGCTTTGCCCCACTCTCCCCTACTCATGTCATTTATATAATACCTACCTATAACTATTCTATGTTCTGCCCTGAATGGATATTTCCAGCGACGATCTCAGATTTTGTGCGGAAGTGACGCTAATTATTGATAGGTATGATATGCCGTCTCTAGTGTGTCAGAGCGCACAAAGTTTAAAATGTGAGTTACGATGCAACCTTAAGGGTAAATTACTTTCAGTTCCGACAAGTGACTGCTTTGTGTCATTTGAATTTTTCACTTGTGTTCAAAAAATATCAAACGGGTGGTAAAACGCTAACCCTTCTAACACGATGGACCAATGGAAGACCCAGGACGGACAGTTAACCCGCGCCCCACTGGGGGGGCTATTTATAGCCCCCCCTCCCGTTTTTCTGCAATAACTTCCAAACCGCTTGACGGATCGACGCCAAACTTTCAGTACCTTCGGCTGCATCAATTTGACACCTTGTGTCAAAATTTGAACTTCGTACCTACCATAGGTCGGCCGGAAATGACGTCAGAGTGACGTCATGTTCGTCCGATTTCGACGCAAAACATTGAACCACGGCAATCGCTCCCAAGAGCTCAGTTTTTAAGCTAGATCCAATTTCTTTGCATGAAAGGACTCAGAATTGACCGCGCTATCAAACTGCTATCTCGGATTTTCAAAATTTTGAAAATGTCGAAAATTTTATATAATAATATTCAAAATTTATATTTTTATATTTTTTTCAAAAAGTTTTTGACTTTTCGAAAAAACCGGAATATATGTGACAGAACACATGATTATGACTAACTCTAGCAAGTTTTAGCTAAATATCTTCAAAAATGGCCAAGTTATACGCATTATTGCAAAAAATTCACAATTATTAATTTTTAAAATCAATTTTTCAGTACGTATTTGACATCGTACACCAATATAAATGGCACCATCGTGTTCCTGAGCTCAAACTGCATCCTAAAGACACCTTTTTTGTTGAAAAATTTTAACTTCAAAATTTGACCTTTTTTGACCTGAAAGTGACCTGACCTAAGCTAAATTCGACTCAAAATGACCTCGAATGACACAGACGACATCAAATTCGAAATCTATGGCCTAAATGGACCATAAAACATGTGTCACGTGACCGACGCATGGTATAATATTTTCGTGACCTGTGATGACCTGACCCTGACCTGAAAATCAAAGTACAAGTTTGGTACCCTCAAGGTATCTAGAGAATCTGTTCACGAGTGTGGAAACCAAAAATGAGCCTGATCTGACTTGTAAGACGGCGGCCAGAGCCCAAAATGTGAACAAGCCAAAATGCCAATAATTTTTACTTTGACCTGACCTGTGACGTCATCGGTGACCTCGAGGTCGATGAAATTAGGTTTCGCTCGACAGTTTTTCCGGGGCTATCAGACGCCGTTTGAATTTTGACGATCGGCCCAGTAGTTTCGGAGTTAGGAGGGGGGGCTATGAATAGCCCCCCCCCAGTAGGGCGTGTTATACACAGACCCCAGTGGGGCGCGGGTTAATGATAATGAACCGCGACATTAGCGATGGGGAGGAGACCATTGAATGAAAAGCAGCAAATCCAGCAACATATGGGCTCATATATCTTATAAAGTGAAATCGGATCAAGGCAGGTGACTGCATGAAAATGGAAACGGGACAGGACAGGACGTGATTAAACTTTGACCGCCTGAATTCCCTCCCACGCAGAAGCCGTAGGTGGCGTCTTGCGAGTATTGTGCCTTTGAAACATCAAGCTGACAGCCCGTCACGTGTATCATAAACTGGAGGGTCGTAGGTGTTGCATATCACAGTTCTGGCAGCCCACGTCACCTTTCCAGCAGCGAGCGGTATAGCTCAATTCTGCCGCGAACGAATTCAGATGGCTTCGGTGCTGCAGCGTCAGCCCTGTTTGACTTACGGAGGCGCGGGAGGTAGACAGGTGATAGGGCTGAGGACTGTCTGTGGGCTGAGGACTGAGCCATTACGAGAAGGCTGTCAAGTGTGCTCTGATATTGCACATGGCTGGCAAGTGGCAGTGACCGAGGCTCTCAGATAAACGGTGACAGACAGTTGCCGACTGACTTATGTATGTAAGTACAAACTACAAGTATAGGTATGTATACCGCGAATGATCGGCGGCTATCGTGTTCTGACACGACCAGTGACCTACGAACCCCAGGTTAACAGATGACCATTGACCAGTGACCTGCCATAGGTGCTGAAGAGTGACCGGACGCCAGGCAGTGACCGGCGCGGTCACTGGGGTTGGACAATGGACAATGACTGACCGGCGGGCGGCGCGATCGCGGGGGTCGCTCGGGCAGTGACCGGCGCGGTCACTCGGGTTTACCGGTGCTGGCACTCGACTGATGAGCCGAAATGGTCCCGTGCGCGCCACCGAGTGACGGCCAGGGCGGCTGGTTCCGCCTGCGGTCGGCAATAACTGCTCTAAGGAGCCGCCGGCCGCGCGCGCTCGTAAAGCGGCGCACAGA